TAGAATGAATGCCGCACTCTGAAAGTGGGAGGAGGTGCCTAGGGCTTGATCGGTGTCACGTGGAAAAGGGTGAAGAAAAAGAAGGTGACTGTGGTGCCTTGTCCTCCAGCAGACTCACCCTCAGTGAAAGCTGTCCAGCACATCAAGTTGCTGTGTGTGCCTTTGCCATTTACCATGTGTGGCTGTGTGGCTGCCCGGGCACTTGCAGCACCTGCCCCTGCAGAGGAGGCGGAGCGGACATGCAGACTTACCTTCCCCAAGCAGTAGTCTGCCAGCCCCGGCCTGGCTATTTTGTCACCTCCCCTCCAGCAGACTCACCCTCAGTGAAAGCTGTCCAGCACATCAAGTTGCTGTGTGTGCCTTTGCCATTTACCATGTGTGGCTGTGTGGCTGCCCGGGCACTTGCAGCACCTGCCCCTGCAGAGGAGGCGGAGCGGACATGCAGACTTACCTTCCCCAAGCAGTAGTCTGCCAGCCCCGGCCTGGCTATTTTGTCACCTCCAAGGCAGCTCTTTGTTGCCATGCTGTAACGTGGGAGCCCTCTTCTTGTAGACGCCCACATCTACCTTGGGGACGGCAGCAGGACCTGACATCTGTAAGAGAGGCGGAGAGGTTGGTGGTTACAAAATGCAAGTGGTGACTCCTGTCAGGCACCTGGGTGGGCTCTACTGGCTGAGCTGGCTGGTCAGAGGAGTGGGGTGAGAGGCACAGGGTGTGGGAGCAAGGGCAGCTCCTGCTCCCCTGCAGAGGGGCAGATTTCCCAGCAGAGGAAGGAGATTCCCATTAGTGGTGATGAGCTTTGCCCCCTGACCCCAAACTGTTAGTGCTGACGAGGGAGGGGCTGTGGGTGTCGGCAGAGCCTCCCGTCTGCCACTGGTAAGAGCAGAGAGCCAGAGTCCTGGGACTTCTTGGGTTTTGCTTGGGAGAGCTGTGAGGTCTGCATTGCAAAGGGCTGCAGCAGGTGCTGGAGCTCATCTCACACACAGAATCAGAGAATGTTAGGGGTTGGAAGTGACCTGTAGAGATCAACTAGTCCAACTGCCCTGCCAAAGCACGATCACCTAGAGTAGGTCACATAGGAATGTGTCCAGGCAGTTTTTGAATGTCTCCAGAGGAGATTCCACAACCTTTCTGGGCAGCCTGTTCCAATGCCCTATCACCCTCACAGTGAAAAAAAATTTTGCTAATGTTTTTGTGCAACCTTCTTTGCACCAGCTTGCATCTGTTGCCCCTTGTCCTGTCATTGGACATCACTGATGAGAGCCTGGCTCTGTCCTCCTGACACTCACCCTTTACATATTTATAAACATTCATAAGGTCATCCCTCAGCCTCCTCTTCTCCAAGCTAAAAAGACCCCGCTCCTTCAGCTGTTCCTTATAAGGGAGATGTTCCACTCCATCATCTTTGTGGCTCTGCACTGGACTCTTTCAAGCAGAGGCCTGAGGCGAAAAGCTGAGCTTCAGCTGCTGCCATGGACATGCACCAGAGAGGTGCAGTTCACCTTGGCGAGGTCTTCCACAAAGCTGTTGCGCTTGCTCTTCCCTGCCATGGAGTAGCAGGGCCCCACCAGCCTGGGCAGGGTGTAGCTGTTCGGCCCTGCAAGGGGAATGAGAAGAGAGTAAGAGTCCTG